CCCCCTGACTTTAAAGCTGGATCCGCCCCTGACCAGGAGTGAATATTTAAACTAACGAACCGATTGACTTTGTCATGATAAAGGCATGGACGATGAAATCTGCCCCTACGCAACGTTCCATCTATTGGGATTCCGAGAGGAAATGGACCCCACCAAAGCTATGCAGTTCCAAACCTTCCCACACCCTCATGCTGGCACAATGGGCCCTTCTGGCATCAATACGCCCCATCAGATCCATTCGCGCAATGGCTCACAATCTATGCCAAGACAAGGGAACCGACGTTATGATAGAGTGGGATCTCAAGGTAATCATATTAACCGCTGCTTAATGAACTGTAGGCAAATGTTTTGTGTACTTAGTTTAGAACTGTTAGATAACTGAATTACTTCGTTTGAATACTTATGGATACATGTTAGTGAAATTCACAGGCAATGGCAGCATCTACTCGCCTGGACCTGAATATGACGATCCTGCTAACTGTGCGCCTGAAGACGAACAGTACGGTTCTCAATACGGAGGCTATGGAGCGCCTTATGACCAGTATGGGAGTCGCGGGTCTATAGGACGTCGTTCTTTAGGTGAGAACAACTTAGATTCTACTAGATATTTGGCAAGGTGCGGGGACAACATTTTCTCAAAGTGCATGAGATTTTTGCATTGAATCAATCTAGTTAAGTATACCAGGAGATTCGAAACGAACATAATTTCTTTTCAAGTTACTTACTTGGGGAAAAACGAGAAAAATCGTTTGAAATTCCATATCCACCGCGCAAGTTAGAACAAGTTTGCTTATCCCTTTCTGGAGCACTGCGCACTACAACATGAAAAACTTCCATTCTAAAGAGTATCTATTGCGAATAAATACGCGGCACGTTTGGATACGATTTATAGAATCCTGGAGAACTCGCCGTGTGAATGTCCACTTTTTCTTGAAAGAACACGGTTTGTAACACTATCTCAACGGTTTTACGTATTCAACTAACAAATCACTGACACTTCCGACACCAAACTGACAACCCTGTTCCCATAGTGTGCAACGAAATACATTCGTTAGACTAGTTTTAGTTTTCCTTCTTGCAAGAGTGAGACATGAAATGCCAGATATTTAAGAATGGAGCGAGATACACATTGCAAACCCACTGAACCAAAAAGCAAACAGAATAAAAAATGTTAGTTGATGCTGTTTGTATTTGTCTCTAAACAGTAACAAAGCTATAAAAATATGGGAAATTCGTGCATGCGAAAGGGAAATAAGCGATCCGTCCTAATCCGCACCGAAGACAAGATATTAGATGGTTTTACACTTATCGCTCGGTTTGGGAACGGCCCGCCAATCGCCGTGGTTCAGCAGTTGGCAAAAACTGTGGCGATCCAAAACCGTGTCACTAGAATTGGCAACGTTGTAATAACCAACTCTTTTTCCCACGTCCCTGGCATTGTTGTGTTTATTTATATTTACTCGTTTCCATGGCAAATGTCTTGTTTTCAAAGAGTCGACAAGCGATTGGTCGATCAGGTTTAAGTGTAGCCGGAAATGCACGTCACCAGGGTCGGTTTCTAGGCAACAAAGGTTGTTGATTTGTTCGAAAGTGGAGAAGTACTGATTTTGTGCGGAAAATATTCCTTGTGGACGAAATGAATTATTGACGAATAATTAGGGGTGAGTGAAATTTTGATTTTTGGTTGAAATTTTTCTAAGGGTGGGTTCGATTCTTTGACAAATTGGAAATTTCCTCAAAATGTGTCAAATTTTACAGCATTTTGAGCTCACGGACGCGAGGAATGCATCGAACTCATTAAAAAGCATGGCAGAAGTTTCAGATCGAAATAATGGTAATTTTCGCCACATTTTAAGCGTTTTTTAGCGCCCGATTTCTTCATTTTCATCCAAACACTATAAATTCATATTTGTGACCTTCTAATGTCGAAAGGAATCGATTGAGCTGGAAAAACCTGTGTACGGAAGAAACGACTTGCTTAATTAAACTAATTATGAAAGATATTAATTAAAAAATAGTGAGGTACCGAAAACGGTTGCAAATCAATTATTACCAAACTGATCCTTTAGCTACACCAGACGCGAGAACACAATGTAAATGGCAACGTTGTATTCAAGCCGAAATGTGGCAAGTTCTTTCGCTACGTTTCGCAGCGCCCAAATCGGCAGTTGAACTCGCGAATATTTTACGTTTTCGCTTCGCGAATTTTTCCTCTTCCTTTCCTCTTCTAAAACACGTCGTTCGGCCACTTTTTACTAATTGAATATCAGGTGGGTTACACGGGTCGAAATCAATACTTGATCAAGGAATGGCCGACCCAAAAAACACTTTTTAAATATTTTAAAAAGTATGCAAACTCTAGACTTTAGTTGAGTGTACTGAACAAATCTCCATCTCTATACATAGTTTTCATTATAAGTACAGATATTTTTTTATTTAGGTTCTCTGAGAATTCCCCCAACCAGCAGCTCGCCTGAACCACCACCGCCACCACCACGCAACCATGATCCCTCTTTCAACGACTCGAAAGACTCCAATGAGATTTCGGAAGCCGAATGCGACCGGGACCAGCTAATTAACAGTAGAACCTACGGCGGTAAGTCAGCTTTTAGACTAGATTAGTTAGCCATAGTTTGGTTTACTAGACTCCCCTACACTGGACCGATATATTTCTTATGTGCACCTCTGACTATCTGATTGGAAATCGTTTCTTTCCTTCAAGTAACGTTGTGGTCGTTTATTAATCAGTCAGGTGTTTTATTGACTAGTATCAACTAAGAATGTGCTAATGAAATCATATTAAAACGGCAATTAATTTTCAGAAGACGACCAGGGTAAGTGAGGTTTTTGAGTGTGATTTTTCTATTCCATAGAATTGAGTTTTTCGCATCGTTAGATCATGTTCATCAGAATCATGCTGGGTTTTTATGAAATTATATTAGAACTTCACACCACAGTCGTTTTTAAATCGAACTATTTTTTCTTGTATCCGTGATCTCATAATTTCCCAAGCAATACAATATTCATATCTCAAATGCGTCATTATCCATTATCATTCATACTCATATACCTAAGAAAACGCGACTCTTGAGTCGGCAAATTGGAATTTTCATTCGACCAACATTTTCATTCGTTTTTCCAATTTAGCACTTGTTAATGTTTGCATGATTTGAACTTTGTGACTAATTAATTGTGCTGTGTCTAACATGCGATTTAAAGAAAATCTATGTCAGTTGTAATTCAGGCCTGAATTGGGAAAGAAAACTTTGCAGCGTCGTCAATTTTGCATGTTAAATGTTTCGCAATAGATTTTCCTTAAGATTTTGAATCATATTCTACATTTTGAGCAAGTGAGCAGAGTTTTTCATTATACATAGAGTACCTACCTATTCTTTAATTATGTTTTTTTTTGCATAAATCGCATCAATTATTTATTGTGATGTTTAGACTTCTAGGTTGTACTTTACATTTTGAAATGTGGTCGAAATCGTGATCGTGTAGTAAGTGTGATCTTTTTCAGTTATGAGAGGTAACGCAAAGGATGGCATGACTCACGAGGAAATGAGAAAACTGATTGAGAGGTCAGTACTGTAAAAGTTAACACTTTGAAACCCCAGTAACTAGTTTTCCATAACTGCATTAACGTGCTTAACCAGTAATAAGAATAATCATATTCGTATTTTGTGCCCTAATTTCAATTAATCACAGTACGTAAGTTGATGCATTGGTCTTTCAATAGCAAAAGAAGTTGCCAAGAATGTTGAATTTGGCTTTCTCATGCTTAATATTAAATAACATGTAAATAGTCTTTTTCATTTTCATTCCCCATCAAGAATAATATAAAGTTTACTCATATTAAAGTCTGGGTTGTTCTTCCACGAATGTCTCTCAAGCAGGAAACTGTAAGTTAGTAGGTATTGTAATTTGTTGTTATATTGCTTATTTCGTTATTGTTTCTGAATCAGTCTCCGTCACAAAACCCTTTGCAAGTGTGTTTTCTGCACTACACGAGGAGCCCAATTCTCGAAACTGGGGAACGAACGGCGTTTTCCTGAGACAGGAATGAACCGAATATTCGCATTCTCGAACGCAATCGACTGAGTATAATATTTTTGAAACGCCGCCAAATTTGGATAAAGCTTCGCGTTTTTATCGAAAATTCTTAGAATTTCTCTGATAAAGTTCTTGGTAACAACGCTTTTCACATCGCTTCCTCAGCATGCGAGAAGCAGATATTTTTTTCTTAACCGTCCACACCAGTGCTGGCTGATTGAGCTTGCGCGTCTCTTTGCCGCGTTTCCGGTTTCATACCTCCATTGCGAACGAAATTATAGCCTCTGAAAAACACGGTTTTTTGTGATGCGTAAGAAAAAAAATCTGCATTCGGGAATACCATTATTGAACCATAGTAGTTAGAACTCGAGAATTGGGCGCCTGCAGTAAAGTTTTGCATAAGTGCTTAATACTAATGAATTGTTCGTTGGCTTTACATGTTTTCTTTTTTATGGCAACGACTGCTTGCATGATGATGTTTTAATATTAGCTTTTTGCAATGTTTTCTTCCGCTAATAAATCTGTCCTAAAAATATTTGACTTCGTGACTTATCTGATCGCAGAAAAGTGTCGTTATGACCGTACGTTAATTCCATAGTTTTTAGAAGGAAATTTTATTGAAAATGCTTTTGACTTTTACAAATGTTTAAGAGTTTTCGTAAAAAGTCGGTTGCTTTAATGAGCCCTTAATGTGCGTTTATTCAGTGTTTCTTTAAGCCCGTATCCCATGCAATCGTTTATACGACGGTCCGATGATACGAAGGTGTTTCTATTGGTTGGAGATCTGTGAATTCCTACGCGGCGGACGAATTGACAGATCTCCAACCAATAGAAACACTTTCGTATCATCGTACCATCGTATAAACGGATGCATGAGACACGGGCTTTAGGAAACGCGGCATACTGGATGTTCCGCAAGCACATGATCAAAATGGTACCGCAACATTTTTGGGCTGTCAAGAGGTGCTTCAGAGGTGCTAAAGCCACTTGTGGCACACCTCTGAAGATGCAAGCAAGTCAGGAAGAAATTCTAGCGAACGACGGCCTAAAAACCGGAAAAACCCATTAGGTTTAAGGAATGGCCTCGAAAGTCTATCTCTTTTGACTGCAAAACAAGGTTTGCGCCACTGCGCCAAATGGTCATGTGCTTATGAGACACCCTGAATATAAACGAGCATCTGACTTGTGGCTGCAATGGTTTTGTTGTAAATTTTTAGAAACGAAACAGGGCAAACCACAGCCGCAAACGGGGGACTCACAGCCTACGATACTATGGCAGTGTAATCTCTAAGCTGGAACAGCAGACGCAAGTAATTTTAATTTCTTTCATGTTTAGCAACCACATTGAACCAGTTGCCATACTTCCGAATCAATCTTGGGAAAGCAATTTTTCCAAGTATTTTGTTTTGCTTTCGTGTGGTTGCTGGCTTATAAATTGCAATAAATATTCAGTTGCAATTGATGAGACTGATTAATGTTACTGCATATCCAACGTGGGGAGGTTCTGTTGTGAAAAAATGGTCACTGTGCTAGTGAAAAGTGATGATGAATATTTATTGCAATTCTACTTTAAGTTACGATATTACTACTATTAGTTTTAACACCAAATATTAATTAAGTTGCCGTTGATTTGGGCTTCAGAGCCGCTATTACAAATACGTACACATTTTGCCAGCCAAAGCTAAGGCTAAGGGTAAGATTGATTGGTGAAAAATAATTTGTGTGGTGTTACGTTACGTTTTTTCGTCATTCGTTCGATATGTACAAAGTGGCTCAATGTGTCATGTGATATTTTTGTGGTTTGTGGATGCTTGTTTTGGGAAGACGGTCTTATACCAGTCCTCGATTCGATCCTTACTTCTATGGAAACATGCAGCGGCTGATCTGCTACCGGTTACTAATGACTGGTATTGGACCGAATCTGTCTACAGTTGGTGCCAAAATTTTCAACAAATTTGCAACATTATACCGAAACAATTGAACCAACATACTGTAGGCCTTTTTGATTTTGTATAGGTAGCTTATTGTTTATTTTTATGCTTTGATAGATTGTTTTTGTTTGTCATCTTTGGGTAGTTTTTAGTGTGGTTGGCGATTTGATTTTGTTGTTTTAATCGTGCTAAACAAGTTTTCGAAGGTTGTGCATCGCCAGCTATAGGTAATATTATGCTACGGATAAATTACTATTGTAACATAGTCTTCTTGATTAATTGCGAACAGTCTTGGACCTTTTCCGGTCCAGATAGTGCTTCTTTTTTGCAGCGAATGTTCGGGACTGTTGGCAAGTCTATATTTGAACAATTGAACGGATCGGTTGATGCTTATTAACACATTACTTATTAAGTATATTAGTGTTTACAACTTAAGCATGCATATGATATAACAAATGTAGGTGTTCAAACTAAATTTTAGACGCAAAATTATGATGATCAAATAGATGTCGATATTGTATCTTACTCCTACAGGCTAGAGATTTCGCTTGACTCTTTAAACTTTTTAGGGCGTTAAGGTAATGTAGAATTAGATGTTTTACTAATTATTTATAGTGGCATTTTAGACTTGTCTCCATTTCTTTTTTGTTCAAATTTTAATCTTTTAATCATCAACTATACAATCCATGAGAATACATCGCTTGCATCACCTACTTAGATTCATTCAGATACCTACAAGTGCGAGGTTTTGCAGATCGCGTTAATAGCTTCAAGTTCCTATATAGTTCACATACTGAAACATATTTTAGACGTAGCTTATTGTCATTTGTTTTGTGGCTAGTCAACCGAACTTCCAGTTAATTCTTTACTATACATTAAAGAAGAAACATTTTTTAAATGGTTTTGTAATATTTAATGGTTGGAAATGCCATTATCTGTGTAATGTAAGTGTGCGGTATATATTCATAACATGTAAGTTATCTGTAATATTCTCTATAATCTTATCATTATTCCTATACTAGTGTTATACCTGATACGATTTATTATGTATATTTTTTCTGCAATATTTAACCTTTTTATATTCCTTATATACAGTCTCTTTCTGACTAAAAAAATTGCTTCAGTCTCCATTTTTGTATATTCTTATTTCGAATTTATGTGTTAGTGCATAATTTTTCAACCCATATTAAGAAAAGCACTGCATGCTTAATCCTACTTAAATTAAAGCTTATGTACCAGCCATTTGATTTGATTAAAATATATAATTGAGAAATATTGGCAGTATTTTATTTATATCCATTTTCACCCCGTTGCCTRGTCACTATTTTTTTGAACATCAACCATTCAATAATTAACCGCATTTTGGTTAARCGGTAAATAGAGCAAAACCTCTTGCAGCGCTTTCAAATGGTTCTKAAATTGGCCTTTCAAGTTATTTCGCGTAAAAACAACCCAAAATAGGATKTTGCGGTTTTATTGTCAKKACAAAATGGCGCCTAATCATTGAAACCGAAATGGCGGTCGGAAATCCTTTTGAAACAAAATGGYGGATAAGCAATTGTACCATTATATTGTTTATTCATTCGTCGTCTTGTATTAATACATTCATTATTTCAGTTCAAAATTATTCCATTTTGTAAAGACAATAAAATCGCTAAAATCCCAATTTTTTTAATTTGAAGAGTGACAGAAAGGTTATTGGCTGATTTGATCAGTAAAGCCCGTCTCCCACAAGGGCGGATCCAGGGCGGGGAGTCATGGGGGTCATGGCCCCCCAATTTAATTCTCTAGAATGATGTACATTTCTTCTATTTCCCTCTAGAATGATGTACAAATGAGCGTTCTTGCTCACTTTGCCTCCGAGATGTGAGCAAAAACGGGACGGAAAACATGGAATTTTGGCATACTCTTGCTGAGAGTGTGTGATTCAACTTTCGCTTTCTGGGTCAGAACTACTCGAATTTCCTCACTCACGTTGTTACGACTGAATCGACTTTTCAATTCTCTATCCAACAACGCCAAAACGAATTCTGTGGCTCGAATGGTTCTTGAGAAATTTCGAATAAAGGCCATTTAGTTATATCTGGAATGATGTGTTTCGAGCGTTCTTGCTCATTTTGCTTCCGAGAAACATGCAAAACGAGACGGAAAAATTGAAATTTTGCAATAATCTTGCTCCACCTTTGCACAAAACGATGATCATTTTTCCTATTTCATAGATAACAGAAGACATTTTTTTTTCTACGTAACCCCCCCTTGACCATCCCCTGACTTTGAAGCTAGATCCGCGCCTGGTCACCCATGCATCCGTTTATACGATGGTTCGATGATAGGAGTGTTTTTATTGGTTGGGGATCTGTCGATTCGTACGACGGCGGAGAGTAACCTCTGTGATCTGTGCAAATTGACAGATCTCCAACCAATAGAAACATTTTCCTATCATTGTACCATCCAATCGTAACCACAAAATATCCCCCCTTTTTTGACCTTTAATTCTCGACCCAAAGGGGGCTCGTCTTTATCTATGGTATTTTCTGTGTAATCTACAAACGGATGCATGGGACACGGGCTTCAAGCTTTTTAACTCTTCGAAACGGTTGAACCCTATTGATGGGTTGAAAAAGGTTTATTGACCAAATCAGCAAATAAGCCTACAAGCGTTTTTCAACCCTTTCTTTCCTTTATTTGGTACGTGTTAAATGTAAATTTTCAAACTGCCCGCCCTTAGCTGTCAGGATCCTCGCTTGCGAAGATAGGTTAAAAATTGTCAACATAATTTTCATGAAAACTAGTGTTTATTGTTTCAAGTAGAATGGCCACTCCGCAAAGAACGTTGACTCCCAAAAATTACATTTCACCGGGAATAAGCAAGAAGTTATTAACACCATGCAGACGAGTGGGGTTGTCACGATCTAAAAAAACCCCCAGGACTCGATGTGCGGATGGTAATACTCCAAAAAAACCGTTTGGTCTTGAGAACGATTTATGTGACCAAACATCAAAAGACGAACACACCGGCAACTCAGATAGTAATGTTGAAAGCCAGTCAGAGCTCAAATTTCAAGTTGTAAGTCCCAAGTCTCCGGTAACAGTTCAGCCTGACAGCAAGAGATGCATCGATTTTAATGATGATAACATAAATAATAAGCTGTACAAGCCTAAAGACGTGTCGGCATTAGAGCATAATCCTGAGGATAAATTCCGTTCTAATAAACACAAATGCAAGAAATTGAAAATGGACAGCACGACGAAAAATTCAGATGACCAGGCGTTGAAACCGGTATGCGACAGGTCAGCAATGGAAGAACACCAAGCGGAGCAAGCTAAAGCCCGCGAACTCTCCGAAAAGTATTTGGAAATAGATGTTCCAAATCCATTAGAGAATAAGACTGATTGTGAAGAATCCGCAGCAGTGCCGGCGTGTATCAACTCAAGCATGGAGAATCTCTCGGTAGATCAGGACCATTTAGCTCCACTTGCTAAGAGTGTAGTATTAGAAAACGGGAGTGACGATGAACTGTTTACCTCGTCTCCGGAAAGTGATAAAAAGCAGCGAGAAAATTTGTGCAAGTTGATCTCAAAAATGGAACGAGAAGTGGAAGCAAAGAAAGAGACAGTGGAAAGCTTGAAACGTGCTCAAACGTACAAAAAACTGCACAACTTAGAAGAGCTGCAAAACTCAACTGAACAGTGGCTTCGGGGATGCCGACTGGGACTGCAAGACTTGCTTAGAAAAAGACAAGAACACGAGGAAATACAAATGGAAAGCTTAATGGTGAAACTGAGAATTCCCGATGATATTATTATTAAGTTGAATTTGTCGTAATTAGCTTCCAAATAAATCTAAAGTTTAAAATACCTTAGCTTTTCAGAACTGCTTATTTTTAAGGTCTAGAAAAACTAAAAACCGTACTGCTCCAATCAGATTTAATCAAACTGAACCGCTCTTATCTAAATTAAAAACAAACTTTAGAAAAAACCTACTTTAATGAGATAGTATATTTACAACACCGGATCTCCTTGTAGTGTAGTGTTTTGACCTTAAAATTTACAATTATAAATATAAAAAAAATATGTTATGTTCGAACTGTTTCATAAAATTGTGAATGATGTTACCAACGATCACTGAGGGATGACAAAAACACTAAAGTAACATACAAATTCCAAACATAAAAGTTAACCCTAAGTCTAGCATGGAACAGAATACTTATTTCTTAGCCTTGGTGTTATTCTTCGCCGACGTCTTTCCTTTTACACTGTTAGTTTTCGCTTTTTTCGACTTGGGCTCCTCGTCATCTTCTTCCTCTTCCTGTAAGTGACAACAAATGGAATTTGGTTTCATTTACACATTTAAGCAAGAACCACATATGGAAGGAAATGATCTTGAAAGGAATTACATTTTGACGGGGTTGATTATTTTTGGAGGTTTTCTAACTGACGAACGTGAACTAGAGTTCAATTTATAGTTGCATCATAATGATGCAGAAGCGATATAAATAAAAAATTACTTGCCAGTTTCTTAGCTATGAAATTTCCAAGCCGCTTGCGGAGTTTAAATTTAACGGATTTTCCTAGAAACTGTTATTTCTGTGAGAGCAATTCACGCACCAGATGAAAGTATAGCAAATTACATACACCCAGTTATTAAAAAAAATTAAATTGAAAGCAGATGGTGATTCGCACACTTAAGCAAAATTGAGTTTCAACTTTCAGCAAAAGAAAACGGTACTTACTGCTCCTTCTTCGCCTTCGTCATCCTCAATCATTTCTTCCTCCATTTCATCCATTTCGTCAAACTCCTCAATGGGGCCACCAATCAAGTGGTGTCCTACTATATGAACTGGCCCACTGCCTAAAATCAAATACGTACAGTGTAGCAGTAGAGTAGAAGTGTAAATATTGTAGAAAATTAATGTTAGCCATTTTAGATTAAACATAACTTACCTTGAATCAGAGTAAATGTTACTGGAGGGTCTGGAAAGGACAAATCGAGTAAGACCTGGTTGTTCGCACCCCCAGCTTTTAGGGTGGCAATAGGTATTTTAACGGAATCTTTCCATGTCATTGCCTCTACTTGTATAACATTTACTTCTCCTGCAAGTGATAAGGATTCATAAGTGAACATCACAAGAAAGCAAAATAGCCAATTACCTTCTGTCGCTCCCGGTCCCAACAGAGCTTGCTTGATGATAAGTTTGTGTCCTCCTTGGTAGTCCTCCGCACCAGCCCCTTTTGCTTCCGGATCCCAAACTTCATTGGTATTCTTTCCTTTAAGGGTCAATGCTAAAAAAGAGCGAATTGTTAGTTAAACGGAAACAAGTAGTGAAGAAACCGAATAATAATGGCGCCAAATACCGGCTTTCACAAACATTGTTCGGTGAACAATTATTGACGGCGTACGGAAAAAATATACACTCGAATGTAGAAAACGAATCATATAGATAGATAACGTACCAAAGAAATATTCATCTGCCATTTTATATAGTGGATGTTCGCCGATATTCGACAGAAAAACACTGAACCCAAAGCCGGTACAAAAACTGGAGGGACGATGAGCCTCAAATGAACGCCAAGCCGACGTTTGATGCGAATTAATGGCGGGCAGTGTCACTAGCGTCACTAGTTGAAGTAGAGGTCGCTTCTCGCTATCCACGCCGGAGATTCCATCGACATATTCACACCTCTTTTTTTTTAACTATGATTCACACATAATTAAAAGTTATTTGTGAAAAGCATCAAAATGAGACGGATAATCAACAGCATTCAAGGGAAATTAAACTGATCATCTACTTTATGCGGCATGTAATGTAAACAATGCAAACATTCGAACTTTCTGGAAAATTCGCAAACTGAAGAAGAAGTACAATGTTGTCGCCTCGCCCAATGACAAATTAATTTCTTAACCGAATTTTACAACTACGATTAAATGGAAAATTACACAACAATATTTCAGCTATGACAATCTGAAGAAAATTTCCCTACATGCCAAAACCCATGTGCCCCGATTATTTTTTAATTTTGTTTATATCTGTTTGGTTGTTTAACTATTCCCTACTACACTGGTTTTTCTGGAACCGGCTACGTGGCTTCTGTATAGCGCCCATAGAGTAAGTAAAATAAGTAAAAATTATTTTACTTTCTCTATGATAGCGCCATCTAATGATGGGTGAATCTGAGGAGCATGTTAACTTAGCTAGTAACATAGTTTGATAATCTGTGTTGTTACCAATGGTTACCATTCTATATTCTGTGAGTGTCGACAAGTCTAATAAAACCGTAAAACAAAACTTTAAAATAGGAAATGAGCGTTTATTTGCATGTCATCGTATGGGGATGTTTACTTCGTTCTGGGCTCTGTTCCACAGTAGAAAAAACAAAACCAAAAGCACACAACAGATTTGTTGCGACAAAAGAATGGAAGACGATTGAAGAAGGTAAAGTTGCTTCTGATTGTTATGTGGATGGGCAGAGTCTTTAATTTTAGGGCAAACGGTCCCATCGGGCCTACATTACAGACTAAATTTAAAAAATGGAAAGAAAGAAGCAAAACTCATTGATAGCGGTGGAAGCATAGAGCAGCATGGTCTAGCAAAGGATGATAGTAAACAATCACAGAATCTGAAGCAAAATACAATTCTGGTCGATCGCTCTGCGGCAACGAATGTTTATGAGGAAGTGCAGCAGCAGCAGCTCCTCCAAGGGGACCAGCTAAGCAATTTATTCACGTACATTGAATTTGAGGAAAAAAAGAAACAAGTTGACGAAAAAGTGATTGCATCTCTTTTATCAGAACTGCAGGTTTTATGTTGCGAAGCCGATAATGCCGATAACTTTTATCGTAAAAACGGGATTCAGAAAATTATTTATAAACATGTAAACTCAACTAATAAATCGACAAGGGAAGCAGCCTTAACATTGTTTGCAACTGTAGCCGATCACAGGCCAATGGTGAAGAAACATGTAGTGGAAACTGGCGGTCTAACGACATTATTGAGGTTGTTTTCCTTGGAAAAGCATCCTGATGTAAAACGCGCTGCGTTGAAAGTCCTTGGTGTCATAATCAGGAACTTTCCAGTTGCTCGAAACAAATTCGTGGAACTGGGGGGCTTACATGTAATTACAGAGTCATTCCCAACCCAACCGCTAAAGGACAAGGTGAAAATGATAACTCTCCTTTATGATCTGCTTAGTGAAAGGAGAGAGAAAAGCGCGGACTTGGACAATGCTCTATACAACCTTGGTTGGTGCACCAACTTTAACGAACTGTTCCAGGAAGTAGTAATGGTCAATATACAGGACTTCGACAGCATTGAAAAATGTTTGCTCGTCATGGATTTAATGGCGTCTAAATGCAAAAAGTTCTACAAGAATGATGTGAGCTTTCAATTGAACAGACAATTTGCATTGCTCGGAGAACTAGACGGAGACGAAGATCATTATTTCATAAATCTGAGTACATTAATGTCGCGATTGTTTGAGAGTTCTTCGAGCGACTTCGAAACCAACCGAGAGCTTTGATCTTTGATCGGTTTGCGTATGAGTTAAATCGGGGACCCGAATGTGAAAATATATGGAACAGCAAATAGAATTCTTTTAATTGTTAAGACTTGCATTTTTTACTTTTTCGCTCACTGCTTGCCAGCAACATCTGTATTTTGAAATAGTGAAATCAGGTCACTTGCGCTGGGTCGCTCATTTCTATTTTCATGGGTACTGCAGTAATAAATCTCCAGCAGAAAACTGTAGTCAGTTCCTGCAACGGCACGATCAATTTAAAATGGTTGCACTCAAGCATTGGCTTCGCTTTGGCTTACCTAAATTTACATTGCTGGGAATGGCGGGTCTCTCTCGCGCCCTCATTTCATCCAGTAAATCTGCTAATGTATCAGGGTCTAAATTTGAGTAACTGGATATGTCAGTGGCTAGGTCTGCAGAAATTGGAGGGCAGAGAGCGATCATTTCCCATATAATCAACCCGTAACTGTAAATGTCAGCTGAAACACCCCTTATTAGTATCTTAGATGGACTGCATTTTAAACATCAACCTTTCGTAGTTATAACTTGCGGATAGTCAAGTATTTCTGGGGCAGACCAAGCCTTGGTGCCTTCATATTCTGCACAAGGAGCACTTTCCTTATCCAATTCCCCATCTTTGGTCAGTGGCAGACAAACGCCAAAATCGCACAACTTGCATGTTTGGAACTGGCCTTGTATCAGTACATTATAGGACTTTAGGTCGCAATGAAGTAAAAGAACTGTGTTGTGTAGGTAAGCCAATGCATGGGCCACATCAGAGGCGACTTTGCTGATGAGTTTCGCACCGAATGGGCCTGCCTCATTGTCGTTGCGATCTTCGATTAAATCGCCCAAGCAACTGTTGCATTCTTCCATAGCTAGTAAGCTCTTTCCATCGGCACCCTGCAAAAAGGCTCTAAACCCCACAATGTTGGGATGGACCAGTTTTCGTAGCACTTCCGCCTCGTTTTTTAACCTAGTTTGGATTGGACCGTTTTCGTTCTTTCGCTTAATCAGTTTCTTAATTGCCCAAGGGGATCTGAACTGGTTAAACGCCGGGGAACGTTGTAATTCGTACACTGCTACTCCTAGAACGGGTCAGATACTTGTAGTTTTGGATGCAAAACGACGGTTAAAAAAACATTACCAGTGCCATATCCGATTTTTTTCATGCACGGTGATGGAGGGATTCGAAGATTGCTTAACAGCTGCTGGTTGTGCTTTTGCGGGGTACAAAATTCAGACATGTTTTTGCGGGTTTAAACTGTTAAACTGTAATAAGCCTTGTTCTATGCTGTAAACTTTCATAAAAAGCGACCACAAAGCGACTGACACATGACACGTTTCGTATTCCACTTTGTCCCCAACGGTTCCGTTTACCTGGTTGCCTGCATCGGACATATTCACTGGTAAAGGTGGGATTGTGCCCGTGAACTGTGAAGTTAGGTGCATAATTTCTATGTGTATGCAGTGTTTTGCTAATCACTGTGCTGTCCGAACCAGAATCAGATTTTTTAGGTTAAGTGTTCTCGTATTTGAATTCTTGTTTTCTGATTTTTCCATACTCAAAATTAACTTAACGAAGATGGCTTCTGCTGTTAAACAGGTGAGTGCACCAATCTTGTCTGAGTGGACAGCCAGCATGTAAACAGGAGATTTCCTTTGAATCTCAGCCACCCTGTTACCACGCCGTCTTCAAGGCAAGTTTTATTGTGTCAAGTCAAACATCTGAAAGAGTTGAAAAAATGTCCTCACAAGCCGATTGTCGACAAACCAGCACGCTTTCAAGCTCAGAGTCGAACCTGATCATATTAAGGATAGTTCAACATATTTTCAGCTATTTTTAGTTCGTTGGAACAATGAAATACCCAATGCAAGCTTTCAAGACCGGCAATGGATAATTTTAGGGCCAAAAAAGCAGTGCTTGGTGTTTGGCTACAACTGCTTTAATTTGACTTGATGCTTGAGAATATGTGTGAACGCAAAATTCACATTCCAATGATGGCAACCTGCAGTTTTTTTAGCAGAAATGTAAATGTTTACTTAATTTCTTTGACCAAATTCCAAAAGTTTATAGAAGCCGATTTTTGAAAGCTAAAACAAACATTTCTTGTCAGTCAGTAAAAAGTTGTCACTGACGAATTTAATTTTCCGGCAATGAGAACGGTAAGTGCCGGTACAAGCAGTTGCAGGTCCAACATCCAAAGCCAAATCTAATTGTTTCATGGTTTAATCGAACTTTCATTGGAACACGAGAAAGATATCAGATATCTCATATACATATATCAGCGTAAGATTTCCCATCATTTTGGGCCCTTCCAAAAGGACATAAGTATGATGAAAGTCCGATTGACCCATTTAAGTAACTTAAACATTATGAACAATCTGCATCGACATCTACAGATACCATTCCTTTGCAGGTGCAAAATTACAAAGATGAAGTAAAAGCTCAGGCAGAGGAATTGCTTCGCAAAGGCATTCCCGAATCGATCTTGAAGCTGAATAAAATCCTGGACGCTCCGCAGTTTAAGACTCGCGTGATTGAAGTCAAACAAGACATAAACATTCCAATACCAGATCCCATTATATTGAACGACTTGCCGCCTGCTAAGAAAACTAAGTTTGACAACTCCATCTCCAAAGATGGAACTAGAGTTTTGATCTTCCCTTCGGGAGCCATTCCACCCAATAAACACATCACCGACTTGATGGATATTATTAAGCCCCATATTCGGAAGCTGGTGGAGGATGCTATTGTAGTAAGAGACAATTATTATCTAGAAAATTGTTCAAGTCACAAATATTCATCAATTTCAGATTAAAATGTGGATTTCCTTTATGGTGCCCAAAATCGAAGATGGAAACAATTTCGGGGTATCTGTTCAGGAAGACACACTCGGCGAGGTTCAGTCGTGCGAGTCGGAAACCAGTTCATATTCTGAGCAAATTACCAGATACCTTATTACGAGAGGTCAGTGGTTAAGTCTGAATTAAGTATAAATACATTAAAAATCTCTTTATTGGTTGTAGCTAAGCTAATATCAAAAATAGCCAAATATCCACACGTGGAGGACTATCGCCGAGCAGTTCAAGAGTTGGACGAAAAAGAATATTTTTCCATGTGGCTCACTTTGTCAGAGATTCGTAATAGATATTGCACTTTGCATGATGTTATATCGAAAAATATAGAGAAAATTAAAAAGCCACGACCATCCAATGCAGGCGAATCGTTATATTAATTTACTGTAACTACTGCAAAATAAACATTTCCGTATTATCTCTTTAGCTTTCAATTCCGCGCGAGCGTCGTAATTCGATCAAGCAAACGGGTCCGAAGGATCATTGCGTCCCCAATTCTTGTATTTAAAGTATAACATTACATCGATGATATGATGAAGTATTTATTACAAATAAGCCCTAAATATTCGTTAAGTGAGATACTGGTTTAAAATTGGGATCAATGTTTGGGGCCCAGGGAACAGGGTTGATGTATGTTACGGACGCAGAAGAGCGTAAACCTAAAAAACCGAAATCATGTTTATTTCAGTTAGTAATCGAGCTTACACATTATCCAGTTTTTGGTATTGTTTGCGACGCAATGGCAGTTACTTTGTAATCCTCTGTTCATTGGAATCGGCTTTTGTCTGTTCTTTGAGCCTTCCAGCCATTCTTGATAGGCCATTTCGTTCTCTTCCATTCTCTTCTGTTTTTCTGCATACGTTTGAAGAAGTGTCAGCTTTTCCGAAATTCTTTTTTCTAACAACAATCGTTTAACAGCTAGATTTAGCAAGTGACGGGGTTTGAAAACATATACCTAAATCGCTTTTCTTTTTTCTCCTCAGCCACATGTTGTAGCTAATATCACTCTCCACCTTTTTCTTGTCTTTTTCAATCTGCTTCAGCCTCAATTCTTCCGCTGCCAGTTCCTTCTCCATGCGTTTTTTCTCTTCCTCCTTCTTTTTTTCACTTAACCAGTTTCTGAAATTTTCTCGTTCTTTCTCAATTAGTCCAAGACGCTCCTCTTCTTTTAGCTTGTTGAGCTTAGCCACTTGCAAAGCTTTACGTCTAGTTTCCAGCTCCTTTTTCGCAATCCAGCTTTGAACGATCTCTTCCTTTTCCTTCGGATCTAAGGTGCATGTTCTGTTGGTGTTCAGGCACGACAAAGACAGTCTCAGTTCACTGTTCGGCCTCTGGATTGGCTGCGATTTGAAGTCTTTGACAGTGGCTCCACTGTGGAAACTGCTCTCGGACTGTTCGTTTGAAGAGTTCGACGACTGCTCCATCGTTCTGTACCCACTCTCTGGAGTTTTATTAGAAAATCTCCCGTTCTCGGTTAATGTACTCGATTTGATGATATTATGGGGGTGATGCGATGCCACCAATGTACCAGACGATCTTGTCGAGCTCCCGTCGTCATCAAACTGGTCCAAAACGGCCAACGGACTGGTTTTTCGTTGAGGCCGCATGTTCGGAATCTCCTTTTCCACGTAAATCGCCGAATTAATAAATTTTCGTATTACCCGTTGCTTGTTGTTCGCATTAAACTCGTTGATAGTCCAACTGGTACCGCATGAGTATTGCTGATTTGTGACCATTTAGGCGCAGCTGGGAATAAGTTGCATAAAAATAGTGTAGAAAAAAGCCTGAACAATACAAAAAAGTCACTGTGACGCTGACAAAGCGCAAACCGCAAAGTTTGAATAATCCCGGAACCAGTGGGCAGCTGGTAGTTCTTTCATTTTATGGTTGAAGAGAATATTGAGTTAAATAGTGAGTTTAAAAACTCACAAAATTAAACGAATATTGCAAATATTATATTTATAATATACATGTATAATGCATCTTTTAGATATTCAACACGGTATAAATGTTTCAACTACAACACGACTCAACCATATAAAAGTGCACCTGCATATGAAGAGGTCTATTTTACCCATGCTAGGCATATATATGGGAGAATAGTTACATTCTCTGTCTAATTCAAGTACAAATCTAGCTGATATATTTACCTACACATTGTCTGTGCTTATTTTCTACTTTAAGATTCTACCGTCTAGGCAATTGCAAATGTTCCTAATAGGTAATAATCTTAATTATGTTTTGCGGAATTGGCGTATTTTCGTTTTACAGTTATGAGTGATTAAAACTTCAAGGTACAAAGAAAATTAGATTCGCAATTATTAAATTTGCGTTGAATTTGGACCACAAGTTCCTTATCGAGTCAGAGAGAACGCCGCATTACTTTTTCGGTCAGCAGAAGTCTCCACGTAAGTAAAAAATTGAGTACATCATGTTCATTAAGCGGTGGCTTGGAATCAATACCGATTCATCAATATTTGTTAAAATGTTTCCTCCTCTTCTTGGAGTCGTAGAATGTCCGACTTGTTCAAGAAGTAATAGGTGGGTTGTCTGCCTTTAAGATCTTTAACCACTCGCTTTGCACCACCTTTGATGAGTAGCCTCGATATGGTCTCCATCTTCTCAACCCCCATGGCATAATGAAGGGCGGTTCGTTCCAACTAAAGCAAAAAAAAATAGATACAAAATTATTGTTCCGAAATAGACGATTCAAACTAATTTTGTGGGAGCGCGCCTCAGCGATACCTAATTAGTGAACATGCTTTTTGATCATTATTATCGTGTTTTTATCGGTTAATTTTTTAGTTCAATATCACTATGCGGGCATCATAATTCCTCGTGATCTTGATAAATCGCGCTCAATATAGAATTCGGTTTTCGGATTCGTCCTTTGTTTCCTAGCTGTTGTTTAATTCGTTGGAGCGGCAATATTTTCAGCAACAGGTGGAAAGACTGCGGCAGGTAAGTTTATCATAAGTACAGTGTTTTGAGGTGCAAATCCGAAAAATCGAAAACGTAGTTTCAATGCTTTCAAAACGTAGTGCCAATGGTTCTTGAGAAACTTCGAAAAAAGGTCCGCTTTGCCAAGGTCCATTTTGCTTCCGAGAAACATGCAAAACGGGACGGAAAACATGAAATTTTGCATTCATCATGCGCCACCCTTGCACAAAACGACGATCATTTTTCTAATTTTATAGATAACAGATTATTATTGCCTTATCTAAGTTGTTAAACATAGAACAGGGCTGGCTTCGGAAATAAATGCAAAGCAGTACCCATTCATTCTCTAGTTGAAGGCTTCTTTCATTAAAGTATAGCCACTATGAAGCTGTGGACTTTGCTTAGCTTCGTGGCTGCATATCAGCAAGTACTTCTGGCTGAAAGCAACATATTGGTGGTATTTCCGCATGTTTACTACAGCCACTTTAAGGAAACCGCTCGATTGGTGTCGAAAATTGGCACCTACGGATACAATGTCACTTTTGTGACCCCTTTCCCAACCCAGCTGGAAAACGCCCATCAAGGGATCACGGAAATATCCATTGAGGGTATTGTAGAGCCGCTCAAGGGTAATTCCCGGTTTTTTTCAACTTAATCTATTGGTTAGATGTGTTCGTTTTTAGACTATGTCGCAAACTTTTACCAGACTGAAAACACCTGGTACTCCTACTGGTCGCATTTGAAATACACCAAAGACATTGGCTATGAATATGCACAGAAAGTCTTGGAAAATGAAAATGTTACAAAGCTAATCTCGTCCAGCTCGCAATTCGATCTAGTGATCATAGAAGATGTGTCTGCCGATGCCCTAACTATATTATCGCACATTTTCAAATGCCCTTTGGTCGTACTCTTGTCTGAGCCTCTAGGAATATTTTACGACAACTACGTAACCGACATAACGCCTTGGAAGCAGTACAATGAGATCAGAAGTATGCATCACTGGGCGTTCAAGGAATTATTTCGCGAACTGAACACGTTGCCTGCTCAGAACAGACTTGCGAGAAAATTTCTACCAAGTGCACCAGATCTCAGAAATATCATGTATGACACCAGCTTGGTCCTAATGCCCAGTTATGAGATTTTGACCTATTTAGTTCCCAAATATCCGCATGTTAAGCAAATTGGCGGGTTCAACAGGGCGGAATCTAATAAGCCGGAAATTGAAGCCGAAAATGCATCTGCCTCTCTTGTAGTGGTCTCAAAAAACATTCCCAGCTACATATTTGAGAAATTACTGGATATTCCATCACTAAAGTTCATTTACACCTCGCAAGTATCTGATGTGATCAGTAAGTGTAATTCATGGGTTCAAAGCGGCATTTTTAAATGTCTCGACGTGATCAATTCTAGGACAAGAAAGAGTAGACTTACTGATAGGCGATGGGGATGTCTACGATATAGCCTCAGCTATGGCAAGAAGAGTAAAGGTTTTGATAATTTCTCGCAATTACTGGCATCAATCCTTTCTGATTGATAAGCTAGTAGATGAGCGCATGGCTTTGCAAGTATCCATAGAAGATGACTTTAAGAAGATCGTTGAGGCAGTCAACTATCTAATGAATGACGCAGAGTAAGTGGTTAGATCGAAATCGGACTATAAAGTTAATATTCTTGGGTTGCAGATCGGTATTTAAAGTAATGCGAGCTTGGACACTAATGAATATTGAACAACCCGAAGGTGATCAGACGATGGGTTGGCTGGAGCACGTTTTGTTCTATAAAGGAGCGTCCCACCTAAGGCCGAGCAACCTGAGAAGCAGCCTACTACATAATCGGATAACGGTTATCATTATTCTCATCATAGTGGACCTAGCGCTGTTTCTACTCTTCTACTGGATTATTATACATTTTCATAAGGTATTACGCCATGCTGTCCTCAAAGTCTGTGGGGCAATACGAAGGTTTATTAAGAGAAGGGCACAGCCTCAAACCACCATCAGTTACATTCCTATTGACGAGAAAAAGTTTGGAATATGATTAATCATTCCATGAATGATTACGTTGATAAATGCCTAAAATGATTGTTAAATTACACAAAATGTGTGTGAAAATGTGTTTCATCTTCGCCTAACACTAATCGACAATTACAGGTGGTTGGGATGAAAGTACTAAAAGTAGGTACCGATCAATGTATTCATTGTATGGCAGCCATATGCGTAGTAAATGAAACCATCTGGGTGATGGTGTCGTTTGAGGTCTTTGGAATTTGTAGTTTCCTTTATTCTTACCTTAAAGATCACTTCAAATTAAGCACTCTCAGTGAAAATTTTTCCTGAAGGGTCCAGAAATTAAGTCAAAAAACATTTACAAACTTTAAGGAAAATCGCCATTTTCAGGATAAATTTCAAGCGGTGTTGCCAAACTGCGCAAAATGTTTTAAGTTAATGAAAACTGTTTCCTTAGATACCTACCATGTAGATTCATTCAATTTGGGTTACATAGGGTTATATAGGCACTACTTACCATGCTAACACAAACTGAATTAACTGGTTCATTCATTTTGAAATAATACTTTTTATTCATTGTTACATACAAACTGTTAATAAATGGGTGAAATACGTGGCAACACCGCATTGTGCTGAATTCTCCAAAGAAATATAAACAATCCAGCAAACTGACTATCAACATACATACACAAGCTACATAATCCCAAGCAAAGGCGAGGCTAGAAAAGATGCTCAAACTTTTGCAAACAACGGAATTATTATGAATCTTAGCGACAATTTTGCATGTGGAGTTATAAATTGTTGATACGTAAAACACGATTTAGCAGCAAATAGCACCGGACAATCTCATTTTCGTGCGTGAATAAGTGGTTTTGGAGACTCAAATTTCAAAAGTTTGTGAGTGTTTTTTGGCTTAATTTATGGACCGTCCAGGAAAAATTTTCACTGAAAGTGCTTAATTTAAGGTAAGAATAGAGAAAACTAGAAATTCCAAGAACCTCAAACGACATCATCACCTGATTAATATAGTGTTTCACTTTTCGACTCATAAGAAATTGAATTTTTACTTACGTTATCCCCAATTCGTAGAGTGTCTACGAAAGTATTTACTAAGTAATCCACTATTTCCTCCTGCTGACACAACACAGCAATATGCAAAGAGCATCTCCCATAGCTGTTCTTGCCAATGGCAAGCAGTTTTCCGCTTCCAGTGTCGTTTTCGTCAGCCAGCAAAGCCATCACGTTCGCAATCGAACCCTGCCTGATTGCATGGTGAACCCTTTCACGTTTTTCCTACAGAATCGGTACAGCAGGAGTTCAATAAGTCGAAAGTTCTGCCTGCTAATTTACCTCAAAAGTCAATATTGATTGCAAAAATGACACAGTTTCAGGCTGATTTTCCTTTGCAACGACATCGATAATAGTGGTATCATCCTCATTGACTATATCTGTGATGTGATCGTACCCATCAAGCAGGAGCTCGACTAGCTTGCTGGTATCTCCTATTAATTATTCACAAAGTAATTATACAATTTGGTGGGAATTTCGAAGAAAAGAACCTTTGGCAGCAATGTGCAAAACGTATCTATCAATTTCCGAAGTATTCTCAGGAATACTAGCTTGGATGCTGATATCCCGTGCGGTTCTATACAATTCGTCCCGATATGCTAAGTTGATTTCAGTCTCAAGCAGGAGCTGAAATAGAGCGTTCCGACCATGAGTTCGAGCGGCTGCAAAGTGTATCATGCTCTGGCCATGTTCATCCTGAAAAGTGTTTTTTAAGCATCCCCTGTGTTCTGGCATTCGCAGTCGCATACTCTGCTGGTTCTGTTAAAGGCCGTCTCGTCTTCCACTTCATTTTCGTCCGGTTCTACAGTGACTACTTCGATAGTGGCTGGAACTGCGTTGCTCTCATTGGCTGTTTGGGCTCCGCCCAAAACTGTATTTTGATGAGATTCCTTGAAAAATTTACTTTGTGGTCAGGTCTTGACTCAAAGCTGGCAAAGGCTCTACAACATACTTGAGTTCTGCCTCTGGATTTTGGTCCATCTCGACTACGTGCAAAATTGTAAAGATACGTTGCCAAATATGCGATTGGATCTTCTGGTCGTTTGTTAGCCACTTCGGTCAGCCCTTTTATTAAAGGGTCGCCCAGAGCTGCATTAATGTACAAGGTGATTCAAAATAGCTGCTAGGTACTACCTGGAAATACTTACAGGATGCCAAATATCGGCCTTCTTCGGTTGCAAAAAACGGCATGTCAATTTGGCCATCATCCTCCGTGGCTTCGCCGTTTAGCGTGAATTCTGCAACCAAAAATTTCCGTTCAGTATAAGTTGATTGAGATGAGGTTTGCATTTTGGTTGTCAATGCAGGTCTTTTAGGGTGACAAAATTAATAAAAAGTATTTTAAAGAGTTATTGACGACCAAACTGATGCAAAAAGTTGATTTGATAGTAAAACTTAAAACTGATTCAGTAGTGGTGTAAATTGCGGTCGACGTATAAAATTAACTGACAAAGAGCAGGTTTCTAACACACACAGGAGAGAGTGAGTTCAGTGCAAGTGAGAACACCACACAACAAAGGCTGAAAAATAATAAAACACATTACTTGAAAGTGTGAAGAGAATGTAAACATGTAAAGTAGATGTTTGGCTGAATAATGAAATAAACCGAGCACTCAATAAAGTGCTTCTACTGAAGAGCCAAACTTGTGCTTTACCGTCTACCACAGTTAAACGTCCAACAATATACAGTTGTACTGACCTACTGAAAGCATCCCTCCAATAAGTGTTCGATATTTACAAAAATAATTATATAAACAACTTGAGCTGTGGGCACCAAAGTGCAAATATGAAGTAATTCATTCAGCAAATTATATCTTATAAAAAGTACAAAACGGCTACATAAGTTAGTATTTTCAGCATTATTCGTTATTAGCATATGTAGATCTTCTTTTCTTGAAGATGTTAAGAAACATTGCAGCGATGTGCAAAGAGTTCGTCATAGACATGTCCTTTTCCAGCTGCAAAATATTGGCAACTGCCGTGGAAAAGTCCTGGAAACATTGTAGTTCGGTTACTCCAACGGACACTCGATTGGCCACTTTAAAAACGTCCGGACAATTTGAATTTCTGCTATAGGAAAGGGTTCTGACCGAGCACAGTGAGAGCAAATTGTCCGGTTCTTTCAGTAAATTGGGACACTTTAAGGTGAGAGTAAATCGCAACCCGCAGCCGAGCATTGTAGGTCTGCAGGACAAGTATCCTAGCCGCTCGTCGAAGCTAAATTCGAGATCTCGATCCAGTATAGCCATCAGTCTGCACAGTCTGGAGTAGATCAGTCCCAAGTTTCCAATGTTTGAGTGGCTGGCGCAGGTCACCACTCGTATGTGGTCCAGTACATTCACGTAGACTGCCAAGGTGTAGTTGTTATTGATGAATACTCCCCGCCCATAAGGCCAATGCTTGCCATGAACTCGGTCAGACTCAGCAATATTCCACAAGGGAATCAACAGATTATTGCTGGCCAAAATCACTCTGGACTCGGATGGTTGCTCCAGCACTTCATTCATCGTGAAATAAACTCCGCTTCCATTTTTCTGCACCTCGTCTTCGGACGCATTCGGGTAGAGAGCGCGAGCAGTCTCTTTGCTCAGAAGAACGTTAGTTATCACGCGCTCTACGGTCTCCAGCTCGCTGGGACTCAGACTTTTTGGCAGCTCGAACTCTTTCAGATTGCGCATACATTCTAAAGTGCCTGCAATTGCACAGTCGGTTAAAGAATCTACTGAGCACTTAGACAAGGGCGGATCCAGGGTCTCTATCCAACGGTGCCAAAACGAATTCTGTGGCTCAAATGGTTCTTGAGAAACTTCGAATAAAGCAGCGTCATGCTCAAGTGGATTTTGCAACTCAAAAAAAAATCGCGCAAATCTAAATCTTCTTGAATTCAAGCATTTTTTGAGAAAACTGCCAACATTTCCCCATCCATGGTTCACTTTCTAAAAAGGCCATTTATTTCTGTCTAGAATGAT